ATGTTTGAGATGTATCCTCGGTTCATCTCTAAATTCAGGTAGTTCGGTCGGGCTTGACTGGTGTAGCAAAGTAAGTTGTAAGGAATGATTTTGAGGACGAAATCTAATTTAAGTGGGGGAGAGTGGTAACATCTGTTTTCCAGAATGGATCGGTCTAAGGCATTAAGGAGTCAAAAGAATGGTTTTTGGGGAAAACCGGGTGTCACGAAGTGAACATAGGGGGTCATAATGTAACAATTCGAATGGGAAACGTGTATTTATGAAGCATGTAACGACGTGACATGAGTATCATCACGTCGTGAGGATGGTTGCAGCCCAAGCCCATGATCTTTTAGGGTTTCCTTCATATTGAAACCCCATTAACTCGAAGTTAGTGTTCATTATTAGCCTCCATTACTCTCAAACCTCATAAAACCCTAACCTTAATCCCTCTTGGTGGTTCTTGGCTCATTTTGGTGGTTTTGGTGCTCTTTGAAGGGAGTAGATGGAGATTTGGTGCAAGGATCAAGCAAGAAACACCTTCTCATTTTTTATTTCACCATCTGACCATTTGTAGGGATTCAAGATTCTACCTTTATGGTTTATTCTCTTACATCTAAGTTGTTCTAGTCCCTCTTGATTCATGGTTTTGATTTTAGTGAATGGATGGAGTAAAGTTGGCAACTTTATGGTCCTCTAGAGTCCCTAAAGCATCATAACTTATGGATCTAAGGATTGGTTGTGGATTGTGAACCTTGCATGATTTTTACATCATTTTCTTGGCTTTTAACCTAGGTTGGGTAAAGGACATGCATGGAGAATGCATTTCCATAAAGTTGTCATTTTTATGAACCTATGGAGTCCCTCAAAGCTTTCTGGAAAGTTAGAGTTGATGACTTAATGGATTAAGGACTCAAACTACTAAGATGTTGCCTCCGACAATGGTCACGACGTGACATAGGGAATGTCACGACGTGACAATGATGGATACTTTGTCTATCTTGTCATGTTATGTTCACGACGTGACCAAGGAGGGTTCACGTCGTGATGCTTGCTGAGTGACTTATCCGTGACCGAGTTGGCTGAGTTGGTGCAAGATGAGTTGGAATCGGGATGAGTGCGTTCTCACGACGTGACCAAGGGTTGGTCACGACATGAGGGTCAACTATTGGTATTGTTGCCTGTTGACTTTGACTTTTATCGTTGACTTTTTGGCATGGTTGCCTTTTGGTCAAATTGTTGGATTCAGTGCATAGGCTAAGGTTGGGCCTTGTATGTTTTGTTAGGTGTGTTGTAGCATTTGTTTCGTGGCAGTGAGCTGTGGTTTAGCTGATTTCGGGATTCAGGTGAGTCTTCTCACTATATCGTGTAGGATGCTACTTGTTTTGTGATCTTGCATTTGTATGTTGGGCTAGGCCCATTAACATGCTAGGATGGGCCCATTGTATTGTTGGGCTAGGACCATTAATATGGTGGGTTAGGCCCATTGTATTGTTGGGCTAGGACCATTAATATGGTGGGTTAGGCCCATTGTATTGTTGGACTGGGCCAATTGATATGCTGGGTTGGGCCTATTACATTATTGGGCTGGGCCCAATTGTATGTCGGATTGGGCCCGTTGATGTGTTGGGATGAGCCCATTGTATGGTATGTGGTATTTTAGGGAACTCACTAAGCTTTGTGCTTACGTTTTGTGGTTTAAACATTTTCAGGTACTTGCAGTTGGAAAGAGAATACCACGGCCTGATCGCAAAACATCCCCTTGATTTTATTCCATATTGTTATTTGGTTTCACTCTGATGTTGAGATTATTTATACTAAGATTGGCTTGGAACAATTGGTTGTATTTTTGGGTGTTTGAAAATTTGAAAATTTTACTATTATTTTTAGGACGTTACAAGTATACATGTATCGTAGTGTAGGTGCGAAAAGAAGCTTATGTCCATGAACTAACTATTGTTGTCTGAGTATTGCAAAGTCAACGAGCTGAACATCTGAGGGAGCATTATATGTTGAGCATTGTTTTTGTTTTGTCCAAACCAAGTCTAAGGAGGTGATGGACTCGAAAGATGGACTTGAGAAATGTAGTTGGGTTGGTTTGTGATATTGTCATATTTATACACTTATTTAGGCATTATTCTAATACATTTAAGCTATATTTTTGTAAAACGCAAAGATATTTGGTACTTATTAAGGTTAAATTCCATTTTTCAGCCAAAAAGGACGTTTTCGAAGAAAAATGACTGAAACCGAGAAAAGCTGGATACTTGGAGGACTAAAGCTGAAACTATGAGCTTAGGGAAGAGAAAATCATGCAAAAGGAAGTTCCCACGATGTGGACAACAAAATTTCACGGCGTGGCATTTAGAAGATTCTCGACCTGTACATGAAGAAGATTCTCATGACGTGACCTTCTCTTGGTCACGACGTGGCCACGTGTCCTAAGAAGATTCCTATACGGAGAAGTATAGTTTCCTTGGCGCATACATGATAATCACTACTCTCACGTCGTGACACTCTTATGGTAACGACGTGAAGACCGATTTTATGGAAACTATAAATACCAAACATTATATCGACTTTAAGGAATTCACATCATTCATTCGGTTTACATAGATCTAGTAATATCTAGCTTAGTTATCTATGTGAATATGTGTTTCTTTTATGCAATTATGAGCTAAATCATTAGACTTTCGTTTATTAATGATGAACCATAATACCATGTGTTAATTTATACTTTTCATGGATTTATGAAGTTGGTTTAGCTTATGTTTGATATATCAAAGCCTAGCATGTTAATAGTTTCAATGTTTGTTTGTTACATCTTCAAGTTTTTTTGTAGTTGAATGATCACTTTAATTGCATGAACTTGTTTACTTAGTTGTTTATGAATCTTAAATTGCTAGAGCTAGTGATTGACCAAATCCTAGAATAAGCAATAAAGGTAGTTACGTTAACTATGCTAAAGAAAATAATTGGATCATAATTGTGTTTTGGTTATTTGTCCAGATCATAGAAAATTAATCTTAGATTTATCATACATAGCCCAATAATATTAATAATCAATGTAGTGCCCACTTGTGTAAGACCATTGCATAGTAGTTCATAAATTGGTAAAACATTAGGAGATCGGACCAAGACTTCGAATAACTTTAACATTGGCAACCAACTGAAGATAATCCATGTCTTGAAACTAACCATAGGAAAAAGGGTGATTCAAAGCTAAACAGAAGTGTCTTAATTATCTTGATTTACATTGTTATTAGTTATTTGCTTGCTTAGTTTTTAGTTGTTTAGTAATTTAAGTTAATCTGAACTTGCAAAATCAAATAAAAAAACCCCCCAAATTTAGTTGTTTCTCTTAGATTAATTTTTAGTAGTTATTTTATTAGCTAAATACCGTTCCATGTGATCGACACCTGACTTACCTTTCTATACTATAATCTGACTAGGTACACTACCTAAGTGCATTAGTTAGTTAAGTTTTGTTAGGTTATATCTGTGTACATAAGATTACATACAAATTTGTGGGTTGGCTTTGCTGAGCCTATGTTAATTGTTGAAAAGCAACCCATAGGTATAGAAGAACATGTTGCAAAGAGGACTAGAACTAGTTATTAGTGTCCCAACCTTGTTGTGGTCGTTGTTGCATCAATAATGACGATCGACTTCCAGTTGACATCGTTTCGATAGCTGGTGTTTTCTGTTTGGTGGTTGTTGCTTGTGACATTTGGCTTGGTTGGGTTAGTGGTCGTATGCGTTTGCCTTGTTAATTCCTGTTTGGACCACAATTTAAGGATTGAATCTTTATCTTCAAAATAGTTAGAGACAATGAAATATCAATATATGGAGAATGACGGTCAACTTGATACATTCTTTTCTCTTCAAGTAATAAGGTAGACCGCGCTTCCAAGAAGGTGGGAAGGAGTGAAAGGTGACAGATCAGACATACAATTTAGTGATACTTTGGTGTCAAGCTATTGATATATATGTTACAATGTTTTTAGGAAACTGAGAATCAATGTTTGCAAGAAGGTCAGATATGGTTGTGATCCGAGTATAGTCATAAGAGATAGTACTGCCGCCAATTATGATGTTACAAAGTTTATTGTCAACTTGAATCTACTTTTATCGTTGTTGACTCTGAAGAAGTTCTCGAGGTTGACCCGGATCGAACGGGCAACATATTTCTTCTTGAGTATCATCTATATCAGCGGCTGAGAGATCGTCCCACATATCCAAAGTTTTATAATGTAACCCATCTTCATACATTCAGGATTAAGCCGGTTGGACGACTGCGCATCAGATGATTCATCAATATAATAAATCATGTTGAATATGATGCCGTGTGTTTCAAAAAGTTCTCTCCAAACATCATAATTTAGTTGATATTCAAAAAGTTCTCTCCAAACATCATAATTTAGTTGATATTGACTGTATAAGGAATGAATGCTTTGATTTAGTGATTTTTGTAACACTTCTCAATTACAAATAATTCTCTATAAATAAACATCAAATGATCATAAAATCAACTTTGAGAGAAATGAATGCTTTGTAATGCTTTTCAATTTCACATAATTCTTTATAAATTAACATAAAATGATCATACAGTGATATACGTAAATGACTTATTTAGTATGCTGTAATTTTTTATGTCCAAACATGTAATTCTTTAATATTTCGATAGAAAAGGATATGGATGAACCAATATTTTTGTAGGATGATATCTTAAAGTTTTGCTCAAAACCGGTCCACGGTAATATTTTTGAAAGTTTGTCGTATAGTATTTAATTTTTTTTTATGGATACTTCCCTTCTCTATCCACGAACCTCCCTCCCCCGTTCATCCAAAGTTTCAACCATTCATTCATCACTTATATAACTCTCCTTTCATAACACCTGATTTTCCACATCAAATTCATCACTTCCCAATACTCCAGCCTTTAACATCTGCAACAAATACCTTATTTTCCACTTCAAATTCATCACTTCCCAACACTCCAACCTCTAGCATCTGTAACAATGGCTTCCCCTCATGAATCTTCAACTCTAGACCTCATCCGTCAACACCTTCTCATCGACGACTTATCTTTCCTTCAGAAATACTCTCTTTCCCACAAATCACACATCGTTTCTCCCACTCATTCCTCTTCTTCCCAATCCTCTTCTCTTGATAGCCTTCGCATTAACAAGTCTGTTTCCAGCGAAAGTGGTGTGAGTAATGGTAACAACAACAGCTTAAAAGAAAGAAAACCGTCTTTAAAAAAGCTTTCCATTCCGTTTCCTCCGCCGGTTGTGGAGCCGGTGAAAGTGGACGACGTCGACGAGAGGAGACATTACAGAGGAGTGAGGCAACGACCATGGGGGAAGTTTGCGGCGGAGATTCGTGACCCCAACAAGAAAGGAACCAGGGTATGGCTAGGAACGTTCGACAGCGCCATCGACGCCGCGAAGGCGTATGATAGAGCGGCGTTTAAACTTCGTGGTAGTAAGGCTATTTTGAATTTCCCACTAGATATCGGGCATGAAGAGGAAGCGGCGGAGGTTCCGGCGGCGAAGAGTAGCTGCCGGAAAAGAGTTGTCAGAGAGACAGAAACGGTTGATATGGAAAGCCGAAAGGTACCGAAAGTTGAGCCGGTAACGGAAGAACCCGTCGCCGTTAAGACGGACGCTGGTGTTGGGCCGTTGACTCCGTCATGTTGGACGGCCGTTTGGGATTTTGGGGAGGGTAACGGAAAGGGGATCTTTGAGGTGCCGCCGTTATCACCTTATCCTAATATAAACTTTTCGTCTGGTTGTATCGTCAGTTAAAGAACTTTTAACGGCGCTTACTAAATCTAGAACCCCAAATGGCGGCTAACTATGTATATATAGAAAAGGAAACATTTTGCTAGTATTTATTAAATTTGTTGATTTGTTTGTTCTTTTATGCGAGGAAAGTTAGAAGGTATTGCAAAAAAAATTCATTATAAATAAATCTTCAATTTATGTTTAATTATTTAATGAATTCAGTTCCAATGATTATATGCTAAATCTATATATTAAGATAATCTATTAAGCATATGAAGTATTAAGGGTTTCTGGTCCTATCAGCTGTTATTTTTTCTTTTTCCTTTATGAAGTGGAAGGTTAAAGTTTTGTTTGAAACATAAAGTAAAATTAGATGTAGTTTAGGATAAATTAAATTTGTTGTTAAAAAAAAATCCTTTCAAAACATTTACAACACTAATAATTTGTACTATCAAAATACCATATTATCCTCTTCCCATTTTATCCTCTTTCCCATATTGCCATCTTGATTTGCGAGTCTAAAACTTATCCACAAATATGAATTTTTTGGTTGAAGGCTCATTATTCAAGCATTTTTTTTTTCTTTTTGCGGAGGAGAATGTAGCCGTGTACCATATAAAATTGTTTCCAATGTTTTATCACTTGAGTGTATCTTTTCACTTCCTAAAAACCATTTTTTATTTTTTATTTTTGTTTTTCATATTAATAGGAATACATTGTGTACCATATAAAATTGTTTCCAGTGTTTTATCACTTGAGTGTACCTTTTCACTTCCTCAAAACCATTTTTTTATTATTATTATTTTTCACATTAATAGGAATAGATTGATACGTATACCTTTTGATTTAGAGGTTTCAAAGAATACTTTATTATTACACTACGTTTATCGGTGCGTCTTGCGACCGATTGTGTACCAAAAAAAAAGAAAAAAAAAGTCAAACATTTATAGATATAATTAGGTTATAACCCGTGTACCACACGGTTGACAAAAGTAAAATAACATAGACTAAAATTTATCATTATTAATCATAATTTTAAAACAATTATATTTATACAACATCATTGGATGTTTTGTTCGTAAGACCATTATCGTCTTTTTTAATTAATGTGTAAAATGGTTTCAAAACATCATTAATCTTTTGGCACGTCCTATAGAAAAAAAGATTTTAAAAAAATAAATAAAAATATGATGTCATACTCTATGTATAATTCAATCACTTGAATTTTGTAGTCAAACTAATTGCCTTTTTAATCCAAATGTTGCATGATTTGAAAATCATAAAGTTTCCCTTATATCACATTCACATATATAGATTCATATGATTTACATGATTTGAAAATAATAAAAATTCCACTTAAGGTTACTAACAGATAAACACTTATCAAGCATCAAAGGTGATTTAAGCACATATTTAATTGCATTAAGATACCAATACAAAGAAAAAAAACTGAGGTATATGTTAAGGTTGTCAAGATCGGGATCCTACGTAAGATCGTTTTTGGGTTTGCAAGATCGGGATCGGGATCCTAAGATCCCACAAAATAAATTATAATTTTAATTTATAATTTTAAATCATCAAAAATATTTCAAACATTCAATTTTTTATTCAAAAGTTATAAAAACTTCAAAATATTAGTCATAAATCAACACAAAATGATAAATGGTAAATTGGTAAAGAGTAAAAGACATAAAGTGTTAAAAAAAATTCATTTGCAAAAAAAAAAAAAAAAAAAAAAAAATCAAGGGAAGGTAGGATCTGATCGGATCTCGATCCTACGATCCTACCTGCGATCCTACCCCAAATACGATCTGTTTACGATCCAGATCGTTTTTCATACCTAGGATCGTACGATCCTACGATCAGGATCGCGATTTTGACAACCATGGTATATGCGAGTAATATTGCAATAATGCAAATTAAACATAAAATAAATCATGGATCCAGATATACATTTAATCACATGTGTGATTGTGTCCTTACAAAAATCGTGTCCCTAAATTGAAAGTAGCATGTCAATGTTGGTTTATGCACAACAAAATAAAGCCACGGCTCCAATTCTCGATTTCAAAAAACAATTAACAAAAAAATCAAACTTTTGCTAATAAAATTTAAAGTTATCTAGGAACATTGAAGCACAACAAAGAAACATCATCCTTCATAACTCATAGTTCATAAAAATTCTATAACCGCATGCCATTTTCATAGTTTAATGCTGCATGCAATAAGATGAAATAAAAGTAGGATGCTAAATATTAAAAAATAGTCTGATACTGTTGGTTTAAAAATAAAAGTCGAATGTTATTTTTGAGTAAAAAATGTGAAGTAGTTTGCTATGTGTGTCTTAGAAAGGAAAGTATCATGTAACTATTGGCTTAAGAATGAAATTACCATGCACTTTTTTACCTTAAAAATTAAAGCAACGTGATATTTTTACCATAAAAACAAAATTAACATCTTATTGTTCATTTAAAAATAAAAGTAGAATACTATTTTTCACTATAAATGAAAGTAATCTGTTACTTTTGGCTTAGAAAAGAAAGTAGTATGCTATTTTTTCCTTAAAAATGAAAGTAGCATGCTATTTTTGGCTTAATAATGAAAGCACCATGCTTTGTTTCCTCAAATATGAAAGTATGATGTCACTTTAGCCTTAAAAAAGAAAGTAACAGTTTATTTTGTTCTTAAAAATGAAAGTAGCATGTCATTGTTGGTTTAAAAATAAAAATAGAATGCTATTTTCTTGAAAACGAAAGTAGTGTGTTAATTGTGGCTTAGGAATGAAGTAGCATGCTATTGTCGGCTTAAAAATGAAAGTAGCATGCAATTTTATTTTAAGAAAAACCTTTCAACTTGGAAGAGCTATAATTCGGGAATGGAACTAAAAGGGACAGAAGAATAAGAAGGAACAGAAGAATCCTCAATATGAACATGGAAGTTCAAAAAAAATGATTATGCTTCACCACCAAAAACCATGAAAGTTAAAAAAAAATGATTAATGAAAATAATGAGCTTACATATCTCACTGAAGGTGTAGCCATGGTTGACCAAAATACCCTTGGCCTTCAAAAAACTTCAAAACCATCCTAAGGCTATTCACATTCTTTCTAAGTATAGAGATTGCATGTATAGATGTTGAGATGCACATAGAGAGATTACATGCATTATCTACTAAACAAGTGACATATAGTTTTTATTCTATCTACTAAACAAATCACAAATCTGAGCACCAAATATCAAAAAAACATAATATTAAATATTATAATATGAAAAAAGAAAGAAGAAAATGGAAGTTTCATAGCTACATATATTATATTTATGATCTCAAACTATACAAAAAACATACTTCCCAGAAACTGGTGTTGTTGTTGTTGAAAATTTACTTGGATCATTGATGATCATATATCCATATCAAACTTACTAACTCAAAATATTAACCCATTAACACTTAACATCAAAAATTGAAGAAAGTGTGGTCACCTTCAAACACACCTTGAATTTTTGAGCATGTTTGAAGGAGTACTCAGTAGCAACAACAACAAATAGCAAGTTCTTGTAGCCATTGATGATCATATGTGGTGTTGCGGCTAACGAAGCGTATTTGATTCCCAATAAAAATGCAGCAACTTGAGAAAGTCCAGTGGTGAATTTTTCATTGAGATAATCTTCTATGCAGTAAAGACTTCTGGACTGAACACTGATCCATTTTCATAAACAAAATGAACAACTAAGTCATAAGATTGGTGCAAGGAGACCAACACGTGCAGGTGCTGCAAACTGGAAATTGAAGCTATGGTTACATATGATTTAACAAAACTGATATGAAACATGATAGTCTGAAATGATAGATTTTAATTTCGTTAACCTTATACTTAGCAACAACATCGCCCACTTCCTTAAGTTCCCCTTTCATAAAAACGAATCCCACATTCCCCTGATCCAAATTCGATTAAACAGTTAATAACTTAATCATACATAAAAAAGGAAAAATTAAAACATCAATCGAATGGAGAAGGTACGCACCACAAGAAGAGGAATTAGCTTAAGAGATTCGTACATATCTCTACATCACACCAAAACCAAATTTTAAGAATCATAAAAACGTAGGAAGATTCATATATGTATAGGATGATTATACAATTTATATCGAGCTCATCGTTTTCTCCATTGATGACAAGAAATAAATTCTTTTCCCATGATTTTTTAGAGAGAGAAAGAATCAGGGGTTATGATGGGAAGCTTGAAGGGAAAATTAATTTCAAAATCAAAATAAGAAAATAAAGCACCATTAAATACTGTATATATATCTGCAACTAAGTTGTTTGGCCTTGCTAATCGATCTATTGCTTCCTGTAGAACGAAAAACTCAATTTCAAATTACAAAGAAAACTGAAAATCACAAAAAATAAAAACAGGGAGCCGTGTGCAAGTATGAATGTGGAAAATTGGGGACTTTACTTTCTAATGGCTTGAATCCGCCACTGTATTAGAGAGAGAGAGAGAGAGAGAGAGAGAGAGAGAGACTTTGCTTCGTGAATTTGGATTGATGCGAACAGCAAGGAGCGGAGGGGCAACTATTAGACTCCGTTTACATTTAACCCATTTGCAGCAAAATGCAGTTGAATAAACCTAAAAATCCGTAGATGGAGATATATGTGAAGAGCGAGATTTAGGGAATTGAATCTCACATTTGGTAACTTGGAGTAGATAATTAAGAATTTCAAAATTTTGATTGCACATTTCACGGGATCTGATTTGGAGATTGCTTTTCAATTAAGGAGATATATATATATATATATGAGCGGGAAAATACAATAACGGGTAAACAGAAAAAGGACACCTGACAAAATAGAGTGTAAAAAAATGACACGTGGCGTTTAAGAGAGGTTTTTATTAAGCATGGAGATTTGGGATAATGACTTAAAAGGGTAATATATTTTTTGATTTGTACATATTTGGTCACTGAGTTTTTTTTTCGTCCACATTTACTCCTTCAACTTGTTAAACTGTACACATTCAGT